GAGCCCGCTGTCCGGCGTCCCGGCCCTTCTCTGGACTCCGTCTTCGCTCTTTCTGGCTGTGCTTCTGGGGCCCGTAGTTGGGCAGAACGGGGTCCGGGTTTTCCTGGGTCGGGGGATCTGCTTGGATGCTCCCAGGGACAGGCAGTTCGCTCTCTATCAGGGCTCACCCCGCTGCCCTAGGAGCCCCCGGAGGTAAGAAGCCTTCTCCCCGCTGCTCACCGTTGTCCCTGTCGTGCTCTCCTGTCCCTGGGGTGGGGCAGCTTCTCAGGATGACAATGTCCCTTGAGCCCCCCCCCCAGGCAGCTGGTCTGTGAACACACCTTGTGGCATCCCCACAGGGGAGGGGTCGCCTCTAGAGGCTGCTCTGGAGGCGTCAGTGAAGGTTAGTAAATGATAAAATGGGGGGTCAGAGGCTCCCAAGAGCCCCGCCCCCACCCTCCTCACAGCCCAGGCTCCCCCTGCCCAGCCATCCATGCTGAGCCCCGCACCACTGCAGGAACAAACTCATTCTTAGCTGCCCGCCATCCTCCTGCGACCGTCTTCCACAGCAGACGCGGGCATGGGGTGGGGGGGTCATCAGCAGATGGTGAGGGGCGCCCATCAGGCCAGGGACTCAGACCTGGAACCCCCTCCCTTGCCCTGGCTTGAAGTATCTGGGCTCCAGGAGCTGGGTAGGGTGGGCGAGTTTCGGAAGGGCTACTCCTGGGTCCCCGTGATTCCACAAGAGGTGTCCTGTCTGGGTAGTGCCCGGCGTCACCAACACGGGCGGCCCCACGGCCTAAGTTCTAGTGGCCGCCGCCTGGTATAGGGTTCCGGGGGAGAGGAGCCAGCAACTGGAGGACCCCCACCCCACCCCAGGCCCCTTCCTCTGCTCTGTCCCAGGCCCGCTGGTCTTGCCCCGGGGTCAGAGACTCGAGGTGGTGATTGTCACAGTGAAGGAGTAGCCTGTGGGCATGGCAAAGGGGGGGTTGAGAGGGCCCAGACCCATTTGTCTGTGGGGGGGACAGCCCGTAGCCCTCTGGAACCTCAGGTCTGTAAAAGAGCGTTCGCTGTAGCTGGTGGCGGCTCTGCTGCATTGCTGTGCCTCAGTTTCCCCAGATGCACTCTTGCTCCCAGAGGGGTCTCCTGCCTGCTGTGTGCCCACATCTGGACTGCGGGCATGAGTGCTCCATAGTGAGGCAGGCCGTGTGTCCGTGGGCACATGGTGATGTTTGGGTGACGTTCCTGTGCAGCGCAGAGCAGGGCCTGGCCCCCCCCACTCCCCGGGGGGCCGCCCTTGCACCCATAAACTTTGTGGAGTGGGCAGATTGGGTCCCCGCTCTGTGCCCTGCAGCTGTGGGCACTTGGGCAGGGGCACTAAGCCTCTCCAGGACTGGTGAGTGATGCCAGGCCCTAAGGCTCCCATAGGACCTGCCTCGCCCCACCCCTGCCCTCAAGACAGGACTCCTTCCTGTCTCGCTTGCCTCAGCTGGGGCAAGCAGCTGAGTCCCTGTTCATGGGCTCAGGAGAAGAAGGAGAGAAGCCCCAAGGCGGTGGGTGGACCCCCACTGCAGGGAGGAGTCTGGGGGCAGGGAGAGATGGGGGAGACAGAGAGACAGGCAAAGAGGGAGAAGGGGCTGGGAGCCACGTGACAAAGATGGAGCTTCGAGAAGCAGAGGAAGATGGACACCTCTGCCCGCCCCCCAACTTTGCTGCCTCCAGAGGGTCTGACCTGGCGCCCCTCAGGCAACTGCCCTGCCCCCACTCCAGCCTCCCTCCCTACGGCACCCCAAGTCCAGCCAGGCAGGAGCAGCCCTTCACAGAGCGGGGCCCAGGCTGCTGACTGACACGGGGATCTGCTCGTCCAGTCCTGGGTCACGTGGGCAGGGCACTCTACAAACACCTGAGTGGCCGCAGATGGAGAACTCACCAACCTGGGCGGGGTTGGCGGGGGCGGGGGCACAGCGATCCCAGCCCTGGAGGGGCCTGGCAGACAGGCCCTGGGATTGATGGTCGGGCTGAGCCAGAGTCCTCAGGGGGGAGGACGGCACCAGACGGCCTCCAGCCTGAGACTGGGCGCGGTGCCAGGGCCAGAGGTGCCCACTTAGGGATGCCGCTGGAGGTCTGGCTTGAGGTGAACAAGCGCGCAGGGGAGGAGGGTGACGAGCCAGCTGTGTGACCTCGGGGCAGTTCCTTCACCTCTCTGTGCCCTGGCTCTTTCCCTGTATGTCGGGCCTCGCTGGGTGGCCGGGAGTTGATGACGGATTGCACGGAGACCCACGGGTGAGCCCCTGACCCCTGTTGTCACCTATCATGACAGAGGTGAAAGGCTCAGACAGCGTCTCCAACACGGAAAGTGCTCGGGAAAGGCATCCTAAAGACAAACCCAAGTCTGTCTGTCCAGGGGAACGCCTCTGCCTCCGGACAGAACCGAGAGGGTCTGTATTCCTCGCTATGGAAAGATCTATGTTCAGAAAGTATTTTGCTGGGGAGCGTGTGTCTGGTGAGCCAGGCGTGTATGCTCGTGGCGTACACCTGCGTGTTCCCACACAGGAAGCCCCCCGAGCCAGTGCAGACGGTGACACACGCCAACCTAGCATGTGGGGATCTGAGGCTCACGCTCTCTTATTCCTTGCTTTTCTGTAGTTCGTGAGGACGAGATGGTGAGGGGACGGGGAGATTAGGGCCCGCTGCTGAGGGGCCCTGGGCCAGTGGGCTGCCCCTGCAGGTGGCCCCCTGCTGTCCCTATCCCGAGAGGAGGAGCCCCGTTGGACCCAGCGCACTGTGTGTCGGGAGGGGCTCCTGCCCCACCTTCTGTTGAGCAGTGAGGTTGCATGAACTTGGAGACAGCTCAGGAGGCCGGAGGAGAGCCCTGGTTCTGGGACCTGGAGAACCCTACCAGGCCTCCCACGTCGCAGGGGCCTCCCCGCCCTCTCCCCTGCCCCTGGCCCAAACGTTTCAAACCCAGGAGCCTGGGACAGGATATGGTGGTCCAGGTACCGCATCACCGCCCTGAGCCTCAGCCCCAGGGAGGAGGTCCCCTGCCCAATGGGTCCCCGTCTTGTTCAGTGGGCTGTGGCCCATCCCTCTGGACTTCCAGGCCCCACAGAGGCCTTCCTGGCCTCACCGATATTTGTGATTTTCTCTCTGTGTTTTATTCCTTTCCTGGCTTCTCCTGCTGACATGTTACATATTTCTGTATTGATCCTGTTCACCTAAGCCCTGTGTCCTGTAAGCTCCATGACCTGGGGTGGCCCCAGGGCATCGAGAGAGGTCCGGGAGAATCCAGCCAAGCCCAGGCGACTGCTGTTTTTGGTGTGTCTGGAACAGCGCCTGGAACATAGCAGGTGCTCTATAACTGCAGAGGTGTCCACTGTGTCCTGGGCAGGGTCAATGAGCCTGGGCCTCACAACTTCAGGGCACAAAGAAGCCTAGTCCTGAGTGCTCACCAGTCCTCAATCTCCAAGCTCCGGCCCAGCTCAGACCCTGATGGGCCTAATGCTCTCCAGGGTCCCCCCCAGTTCTGGGATGCCCTCCCAGGAAGCAAAGGCCCAGCCTTGAATCCAGGACCCTGGACTGGAGCCAAGCCAGGTCTGTGTGTTGGGCCCTAGCGGAGCATCGAGGGAGAGGCCGGAGCCCACAGCTGCTCCGCAGGAGCCGGGCACCAGGGCTGGGAAGGGAGCAGGGAGAATCACCACTCAACATGGGGAACTCCACCCTCTGCAGGTGGCGACCCTGGGACCCAGTGGCCCACCTGAGGACACACACAGGGAAGACCTTGAGCTTCTGGACCAACCTTGTTGGTCAGCGTAATCCTGCCCCACCCCCAGCCCAGCTCTCCAGACCCCGGGTTCTAATGCTGCCTCACCCACGGCTTGGTACGTGTCTTGGAAGCACCCACCATCCCATGCAGGTCCCTGTCCTGGCCCCCGCTCCGAGGACACGCCCCTGCTCACGGCCCCCACTCCGCTCACACCCACCAACGGCCCACCCCACCCACATAGGCTGCCCTCCCTTATAAAAGACAAAGTAAAAAATTCAAGAAAGAGACGGAAGGGCTCTCCTCGAACAAAAGGGAAGGCCAGTGAAGGGACACCATGGGGACCTCACACAGTTGCAGCCCCTCCCCCCCGAAGCTTCTGTGTCCTGTGAATGCTCAGTCCTCGCAGCGCAGGGGTCACAGATAAGTATCTGAGGCTCAGAGAGGTCGAAAGACGTGAGTGAGTCTCACCGCAAGAGCCCGGAGCCCCGAGGGAGGCCGCCGCCTTCTGCAGCACTGCCCTCCCTTCCAGGGGTCGGTCATTTGCTCCTGCCCAGGCCGGACCTCCACCCCATGTGGCTGGTCAGTGCTGTGGCCACAGCCCACGGACACGGGGCCGGGTGGCCGTCCAGCCCAGCGCTGGACCCCAACCCTGGCTTCCACCCCGGGGCACATAAGAACACAGCTCTCTGCCACTAGGTCGGGGGGGATTTTATTAAGGGCCTCCTGTGGGCTGGGGTTACTGCCCCAGAACTCCCATGGCCATGGGGAGCTGGACCCCCCTCCACACCTCATCTCTTGGGGCCCATGGGACCTCACACTCCCTGCCCCTAATTCTATTCAGCCTTTGTGGGGCCCTCCCACCTCCCACGTGCCTGCTCCTTGCTGGTTGTGGGGGACATCATGGGTGGGAATGGCTCCGTCGATGGGGGGGGTGGGGCAGAGAAGTCTTGCCGGAGGAAGAAATGCCCAAGCAAGGGTTGAGGAGGGGGCTGCGACATGGGCGTTGGGCAGACCATGTGCAGGCTGGGTTCTAGGGATTTGGAACAGTGCCACATCAACAGGACTCAGCCTGCTGAGCAGGGGGAGCTGGGCAGGGCTTCTGGAGAGAGCCACAGAAGGCTGGAAGGGGCAGACGGGCATGGCCCAACCTGAGCTGGGGTCTCGGAGGGGTCTTGACTGGGCCAGTGTGTGTGAAGAGCACCCCAGGACCCCTGGGCACTGATACCCAGTGTGGGGGCACAGTGGGGTCCTCCCGATCCTACAGCCAGCTGGGACCCCATAGCAGCAGGCCACCGAGAGTGATGAGCAGCACCAGGGTGACAGCTGCTGGCCGCAGGGCTTGGGCCCCGTTGGCATTGCACAGGTCAGTGGAGCAGCAAGTGACGTTCTTCTTGCCCACGTAGTAGTTCTGGGCGTCCTCCACGCAGTGCGAGCTGCAGCCCTTGCTAATGATGGTCACGATGTCAACAGCACCTGGGGGTAGGGGCTGCTCAGCTCACCTACCTGGCCTTATGCTCGATCCCATGGCCCTCTTCCTGTCCCCACTCTAACACTTTAGAGTCACCCCGGGTGACTACCTCAAGACTGCCAGCAGCGTCAGGGCAGGCGCCTGGGCTCATCCGTATCCACATGCCCAAGGCAGCCGGACCTTTTGCTGCAACTGAAAATGCCTAATGGGTGAATGCAGGGATGGGTGGATGGATGGTAGGTGGGTGGGTGGCTGGGTGGATGATGGATGGGTGAGTGGATGGGTGGGTGGATGGGTGATAGAGGGGGATGATGGATGGTGGATGGATGAGTGATGAAAGGGATGGATGGACAGATGGATGGTGGATGAGTGATGGAGAGGCGATGGGTGGACGGATGGATGGATGGATGGATGGATGGATGAGTGATATAGGAGGGATGGATGGATGAGTAACGAAGGAGGACGGATGGACAGACAGACAAGGGATGGGTGGAGGGATGAGTGGACGGGAAGCGGAGCACCTGTATCTGTGGGTGGGTGAACAAGTGGGCAGATGGACAGAAGGTCTTTGAGTCCCTACCAGGGGGTGGGAAGGTGCAGGAAGTCCAAGGGAATGGCAAGAGGGGGGGGGCCGAGCCCCACCCGGCCCTGTGGGAGTCTGGGCAGAGTCCCGGGGAGGCACGGGAACAGCAAGGTCACTCACGGATGCGCTTGGTCCAGCAGTACGTCTCGGAGTTGGTGCAGTTCTGCACATGCTGACAATCGTGGTTGCTCGCCTGGTCCTTGCAGGAGTAGCAGCGCAGAGCGGAGCCTGGGGGATGGGGGGGCTCAGAGTGGGGAAGCAGCCTCCTTTTTTCATCTCTCATAGCTTCCAAGCTGCTGGCAGTGTGTGAGAGCACAAGAACTCACTGCAGACTGGGGACCCCCAGGGAGGGAACCCCGCTCATCAGAGTCCACCAGGAATGCTTCTCTGCCTACTGGCTGCCCTGGCACCTGGAACCCACCGTGAGTGCCCCAGCCCGTCCCTCTGCCAAATGCCCCTGGTCTGAGAAGGAAGGGAGTGACGTGCTCCAGGGTGGGCTGGGGACGGCAGGGTGGGCAGGACTCCAGAATTGCTCCTGCCACCGGGAGTCACTGTCTCAATAACCTGTGCCGGTCCAACCCAGCCTCCCAGCCCTGCCCAGGTCTCCCCAGGGCCGGGAGACCCTGTGTGGGCCCCTGGCCAGGCCCTGCTCTGTCCCTGGGGGCAGTGGCCCCAGCTGGCTCGGTAAGGCCCCTTCCAGTCAAAACAATGGTGGGATAGGGTAGAGTCACCCAAGGCAAGGAGGCCCCGTGCTGCTGGTCCCGTGCTCAGTCACCCCACATCCCAGCTGACACCCCCAGCAGCCTTGGGGGCCATCGTCATAAGCCCCAGTTTCCCGAAGAGGAAGCTGAGGCCCTAAGAGACTTCGTGACGACCCAGGATGGGAAGGACCGCGCAGGGCCTGGAGTGCAGACCAGAGCAGCCGAGGCCCACTCCCCGGCCTGGGTGTCTGTGGTCCTTGGTGCCCACAGTGGACCCCAGGGCAGGGCGGGGGGAGAGGCCCCAGATGCTGTCAGGACACCCCCCCGCCCCCCCCCCCCCCCCCTCCATTTGGCCCTTCCCTGCCTCCGGGGCACTTGTTGCCTTGAGGTTTTTCTGCCCCTGTGCCTCCCCCAACACTGCATGTTCCCCGTGCATCCCTCCGGCTGCTGGTCCTCCGAAAGCCAGGCCCCGCCATGCCCTCCCGCCTCTGGGTGAGTCCCTGCTGCCTCCTGGCTGTACTCAGAGCTGCCCCAGAGGGGGACACGGGCAAGGACCAAAGCCCCTTCTTCCTGCCGCTGCCTCCCTTACCTTCCACCTGACCGCCCTCCCCCGTTCCCCACCTCTGCCTCCTCTCTCTGTCCTTCTGGGTGGGTCCCCTCGCTGAGTGTCCCTCTGGTCTCCCCTGATTGCCCCCCTTCCCCCAGCGCTGTTCCCGTGGCCCTGCCCCATGGGAGCGGAGGTCTCACCTGGCTGCAGGGTCAAGCCGACAGCCAGCAGGGCAAGGAGGACAGCCTTCATGGTCACCAACGGGCGGCCCAGGGCTGGACTCCGGGTGGCTTTATAGGCTTTGCCTGGCAAGGGGGAGGCTCCACCGCCCACGGTCAACACGGACAGCTCCCCAGCCAGCAAGTACCGCAGCGCAGGTAGATCCCAATCTCTGGCCGCCCCGCCACGCCCCTTGTCCTCTCCCTTTCCTTCCGGAAGGCGGGGCCTGTCCTGGGCAGGGATGCCCTCCCCCCTCTCTGCCATCTCTCAGCACCCCCAGGGCGAGGCATGGGGCTCACAGCAAGGCCAAAGTGGGGTAAGTGCGGAAGGCCAAGGTTGAGGCCCAGCCTCCCTCGGGCCCTGCTCTGCAACCAGGGCTCCTGGTCCTCCAGGGACAACAGCCTTGAATGGCCACACCCAAGGGGGCACAGGGAAGGGGGAGACCGTTCTGGGAAGGGCCCTGAGGCTGGAGGGGGTGCTGGCACAGCCCAAGGGCACAGGCATGGTGCATGGAAATGTGTGCACGCTGGGATGCAGGCTTAACCCTCACCACCTTCCTGAATCCCCCCAGGACACGGAACTCTAGCTGCAAGGGAGTCTGGGAAATGGAGCATTAGCTGCCTCTTGAGGAGGCCGTGGAAGGGGGTCGGCACCGGGCTGGACATAGGCTGTGCCCCAGACCCACTCTCCATCCCGTCTGTGTCCTAGGATCCCATAAGGGCCCCAAAGGGCTTCCAGTGGCTGGAGACCTGAGGGTGGAGGTGCAGAGGCCGGGCCGTGTCCTCCTCCGTGTCCTGACAGCGAGGTGGCAGTGGCCGTGCATGGCCGTGTCCCTGGGGGCCAGCCTCCTCCCTTCCCACCAACCTGGACAGCCTGTGGGACGTATACCATCCCCTCACCCCTCCAAACCTCACCCCTCCAAACCCAGGGCCTAGTGGCTTCCGTCTGCTCATGGCCTAGGGGCCCATTAGTGGTCCCTATTGTCACTCTAAACGTGACCCTCCCTTTGTAAACAGTCTCCCCATGACCCCTTGGGGTGTCCAGGTGGGTGTGGGCAGGTACAGGCCACGCCCACTGCCTGCTGACCCCGTGTGTCTGGGGAGGTGACAGGCCCCTCCCAGGGGTGGAGAGAGCACCTTTCACTTCCTGCTGCTTGCCTGGCCCTGGGATGACATGTCTGTCCTCGCTTTGGCATCTGACCTCATCCCCCTGGGTTCACCCCTGGGACAGGGCAGGGCCGAGTGTGTGCTGCTGGCAAGGCCCTCGCTGGGGCAGTGAGCTCCATCTCCCAGCTCTCCTGGGCGGGGGGCGGGGGGGGAGCAGAACGACGCCCCTGGGGGTGGCAGCTTCCACCCTCTCACCCCGAGTCCTGGATCAAGACAACACAGCGACGTGGGCCAGGGCTGAGTCCCAGAACTCCCTGGCATTGGGGTCTTTCCTGCATGGCCCCCTGGCACCCACCAGTTTGGGCCCTTTCCAGCAGACGGCGTCTCTGCTTTAGCAGATGAGGAGCCTGGGGCCCAGGGAGGGGCCTGACGCTGCCCAAGGTGACACAGTGGTGGGAGAGGCGGCGGTGAGTGTGGTCCCTCCACCAGCTGCCCTCCTGGTCTACTCTGGCCACTCAGAACTTTCTCCCTGAGCACCCCCACTCCAGCCCACAGCCCCGTCAGCTCAGGTGGTTCGCGTGGTAAAATGTTTGTGACCTCCCTGTCTGCCTGTCGGCCCACCCCCAGCCCCCTGGGACTGGGGGTGCCCTGGCCCGGAGCCTTTCTTATCTGCCTTCGTGCTCCGGGCACCCAGCACCTAGCACAGCCTGGAACATTCATTCCGCAAATATTGACAGGTGCACGCATGTTTGTTCACCTGACTCGCCACGACGTGACTACTCTAGGGCTGTGGCTCTCAAGCAGGGGGCTTCCGGGCCCCAGGGGATGCTTGGCGGTGCCTGAGGACACTGTGGGTTGGCCCAGCAGGGGAGTGCTACTGCCTTCCAGGGGTGCGGGCCAAGAAAGCTGCTCACCATCCTGGACGGGGCACCCCCCACCCCAGGGACACATCCAGCCTGATACGGGCAGAATGGCCGAGAGAGGAGGCCCGCGCAGAGCCACGGAGACGAGGCTGCCATCCCACTGAGGGTAGACGGCAGGGAGTTAGACCGAACAGGGAAGGAATGAGTGTACCTCGCATGTGAGAAGGACATGAATTTTGGGGACCCAGGGGCCAAAATGATATGGTCTGAATTGTGTCCCCCCAGATTCCTACGTCGAAGCGCCAACCCCGGTGTGGTGTGCTTGCAGGTGGGGCCGTCGGCAGGTGATCGGGTCAGATGAGGTCATGAGGGTGGGTCCCCACGAAGGCATTTGTGCCCCAGTAAGATCGGACGGCAGAGCTCCCCGCACCACCGGGTAAGAACACAGCGAGGAGGGGGCCGTGTGCAGGCCAGGAAGTGGGTCCTCGCCAGAACCCAGCCCTGCCGGCTCCCCGGTCTCAGACTTCCAGCCTCCAGGGCTGCGAGAAACCCGAGTGCTGCGGAGGCTGCCCAGCCCGCGGGGCTGTGTGACGGGCCCGAGTTGACTGAGTGGACAGCCTAAGAGCCACGCTCCAATACTGAAGCCCGTGGCCATGCTGCCGTAGCCACGGCTGTGACCAGCCCCTGCCCCGGCACGGGCTGACCTCTGACCTAGTCTAAAACTAAGCCCTCACTAGGGTCACAGTCTGAATGCTGACCCCGTTCACGCGGAGGACCTGCCTCTGGTCACTGATTCTGTCCCGTCACCCACGCTTTGGGGACACGCTGAATACAGCCCCTTGGCCTCGCTGAGCCTGGATCCCCTGGCTGCCCCACTTTCTGGGAAGGTCTGCCGCTAAGAGTCCCTCCCGGCAGCGGACCGGGTCAGGGTGTGCCTTTGCTGCGACTCACCCTTAGCTCTCTTCCTCCCCTCGGCTCTGCTGTCACCTCTCGGGGCTCCAGATTTTCCTGTTCTCTTGCCTCTTCACCTGCCTGCCCAGCCCGCTGGGTCCCCTGGAGCTCCTGCCCACTCACGTTCCCTTTCCTGTCGGGTCAGAAAGCCGGAAGGCGGGGGCCGGTGGGACGGCAGCAGGGGCCAGGCCCTGGAAGGAGGCGGGATCGCTGACCCCACCTTGTACGGGGTCTTTGCCAGCAGACTGCGACCTCCCGGGGCTGCCACGTGAATGGACACCAGTGCTGGATGAATCTCATATTTGGGGCAGAATTAATTTAAAAAATAAAGATGGTGGGTTAATTACAAAACCACAGCTGATTTCACCTTCCACTTCTGTAGACCTTTTTCTTGAGAAAAATGCATTCGTAAAATCGAGAGGGTCAACCACACGCTGCAAGACCATGGACCCCCGGGGAGCGCACGCTCAGGGCCTGGCCTCCCATTCTGGGCTCTTGAAATTCGGGCGTCTTGCAAGCTCTGTGAGTGTGTGCGTGTGTGGGGGTCCTGCCAACACTGAGTCCCACGCCGGGGCCTGGGAGCCTGCTTCTCACCCCCGGTTCACCAGGGCCAAAGCTCCCTCGGCCTACTGCCAGCCTGGGTGCCCGTCCACCTCGAATTCTGGGAAGGGCCTTGCACCCCAGAGAAGGGCCCTCGTCCTGGTTCTCACGAAGGTGTCCTACGTGCCATCAGTGTCTCTGCCCCAAACCCATCCCTCCTCCTGTCTCTGGCCTTGCATTCCAGCCCCCTGCAGGGGCTGGGGCCTCTTAGAGCTGTCCCTCATCTCCAGTCGCTTCTCCTCCGTCCTGGAGTGAGGTCAGGGAGCCCAGGACACCCGGTCCACGTGGGTAGTGCTACCCTTCTGCCAGAGGCTGTGGAATTCACAAGCACCCCCAGGCTGGAGCCAACCCCCCCCCCCCCGCTCTGGGGACTGGATGGTGACGTTTCCCCACCCGAGGCCTCCAGGATCTGGGTGAGTGGTTCTGCTGCTTCCGGTCCTGCCTTCAGGTGGAGGCCTGTGGGCTGAGGGACAGCACACCCGGAAGGGGCTCCTGTGTGGGGCCTGGAGGGGACAGCTCGAGCCAGATGTGGTATGGCCTGCTGGGGACCATTCTGCGGAGCCCACTGGGATGCCAGGGATGGGTGGGGGCGGTGATCGGTTCAGACTGACACCCACAAGGCCACGCTGGTTGTGAACAGGGATGGGAGCTGTGGTGGGGAGCAGCTGTGGCCTGGGGACTGGGTCCTGTGCAATGGGGGGTAAGGAGGGAGAGTCATCCGTGGCTGCTCCCAGGAGACACAAGTTCTTCCTTCTCATCCTCTTTCTGACCCTCTCTTCTCTGCCAGCGTGGGCTCAGACCTGGAAATGTGGCCCAAGAGTCCCAGAGTGATGATGGGAGCCTCTGGGGGAGCCCGGTGCATCTTCGGGGGGGGGGGGTGTCAAACCCCAGGCCCCCGCTGCTGCTGCATGTAGGCTCTGGGAGGTGCATGTAATCCCATGTCCATGAGGTGGCAGCAGAGAGTCTCCCACGGGGACAGAGCCAGTCTTCCTGTGGGGCCATTAGGATGCCCCAGGAGAGGGTGCTCAGTGCCCCCAATTTTCTCCTCCGGCAAGCATATCTGCTCCTAGCACCTCCAGATTCCTGACCCACGGAACCGGGTGCAGCAAGATGATTCATTTCAAGCCGCTGAGTCTGGGGTGTTCCATCACACAGCAGCAGATGGCTGATGTGGGGCAGAGACAGAAGCAAGGAGGCCGGGGGGTGGGGTGGGGGCTAAGGCCAGGGAGAGAGCAGCTGTGGGTGCCAGGAGGTCAGATGGGGCACGGATGGGGAGGGCAGAGCTGGGTGGAGCTCCTGGTCACTCAGGGCTAAGCATGGGTTAAGCATGACTGAATTTTTGGCCGAGTGAAGGCAAAGAGGACAGTGCCACTCACCGGGATGGGGGTTCGTGGATGGGGCAAGGCTGGGCCGTGTTCCAAGCTCAGGCCTCAAAAGGCTGGGCGTGAGGTACTGCCCCAGGACATGCTGGGAAGGTTCTCGAGAGCAGCCCCTGGCGCTCCTTCTGCACAGAGAGGGGTGGTCACCCGGGGAGTGGGTGTGCTAGAGAGGGGAGAGCCAAGGAGGGAGCGCAGGCCGCAGGAACCCTCCGTGGAGTGCTGGAAGGAGGGCCTGGGGACGCAGCATCTGGGAGAGTCCGGGAAGAAAGGGAGTGGAGTGGAGGGGGCTGTGGAACTGTCTTCGTCCCTGTCCCCGGCTGCAACAAGCAGCCACTTGGCGGCAGGGCCATAACGCGCAGGGCGCAGAGGCTCCAGGCAGGTGCGCCTCCCTCGGCTCGCCACCGAGCAGCACTGCGACCCCCGTCCCTTGTCCCATCACCTCTCCTTCTGCCCGTCAAATCGCCTTCCCCAACGGGGCCCTCCTCCCTCCCTCCTACCCGACGCCGTGATCATACTGCCCCTCCGCACCCCCGCCTCCTAGCTTGCTGGGGATAGGGGTGTGGACGTGCGGGCACCTTCAGCGCTGGGGCTGGACTCCGGGCTCCAAAGACTCCCGCCCGCCCCGCACGCAGACCACATTCATCGCATCCCCAGGTCCCCGACGAGCTCAGCTCAGGACGGCCCAGGTCCGAACAGGGGCCCCGCATCCGCATCCGAAGCCCGCACATCAGGTGTGCACAAAGCCCCAGCGGGTAAGGCCCAGGCCCCGGCCGGACCGGGACCCGACGGTTTTCCTTTTTCCCTCTCCGGGGTGTGCGTTTCTCTCAGCGGGAAGGAAACCCCTCGGGCCACCGCATCTCACTAACGCAAGGGGCCGCATCACCGCGCTCCTGCCAGCCCTGGCCGGGGACCGCAGGAGTCCCGCGCCCTTCAGCTCCGGGATCCACTCGCACAAGACCCGCGACTCCCGGGCCGGTGCGCCCCGCGGGCAGGTGCGCCCGGTCGGCAGGTGCGCGCGCAGGGGCCCCGCCCTCCCGCGCCGCAGCGCCCAGCGCCCGCACCACCGAGAGGCCGAGTCAGTCCTCCGGGCTGCCTAGAGCGTCCCGGAAGTGGCCCGGGGAAGGCGGCCAGGCGCGGACGGGAGGCACTTCCGGCGGCGGCAGCGGCGGCGGCTCGGGTCCGCAGGTGAGTGGGGCCGGGCCGGGGGGACGGGCGCCGAGCAGTGTGTGCTCTCCGGGCGGAGCCTCCTCCCGTCCCAGCCCCGCCGCCGCCGGGCCTGGTCGTGCCGCCGCTCGCAGACGCTCGGGGCCCCGCCGGCGGAGGGGGTGGGTCACGGGGTCCCCGCGGGTCCCCGCCCCGGGACCTGCCGGACGGGGACTTGCCCGGTTTTCCTCTTTCCCTTTGCGGTGTGTGCTGCGCCCCGGGCCGAGCTGCTGCCCCCCGATGGAGGCCCCGGGGGCGAGACGCTTTCCAAACGCGCCGGCCCGAAAGCTCGCCTCGTCTTCGCGCCCCGGGGTCCCGCGGCGGCCCCGCACCTGCGCTGTGGGCGGAACCGCGTCCGCTGACGCCCCGCCCCGGGCCCTGCCCAGAACCCGCCCCGTCCCGGCACCCCCCCCAGCGGGCCGCGCCCCCTCCCGGTGCACACGCATTCATTGCCCCTGGAGTCTTCCCGCGTCCGCCTCAGTCTCCAAGTTACTTGTTTTCTTTAGATTTTCTCTCTCGTGGCCCCCCCCCCCCCCCCCCCCGTGGCTCCGCCTCCCCGGCCCGAGTCCTTCGGGCTCTTCTCAGGTCGGGGCTCCCCTCGCAGGAACCGGGAGCAGGTGTGAAGCGGCCGCCCTCCTCGCCTCCTGCCCCTCTCCGCCCGCCACCTCCCTGTTTCGTCTGTCCCTCGGGCCCGGAGGGTATATACGTCCGTCCGTGTTCCCGAGGCCTCCGCCTGGTGCTTACGTTGAAGTCACGGCGAGAAGCCCCGAGTGCTGCACCCGGTGCCCTTTCGGCTTGAGAAAGTGCTTCAGAGCGTCAGGGTATCCGAGTCTCCGTTTTCACAGTAGTTGCGTCCCGCGGGGCCCACGTGCTTCCAGCTGGTGGATGTCGTTCAGCGCACACCTCGCGGTCACCTGCTCGTCAGGGACAGGAAGCGTCCAGAACCTCGGTTTCAGGGGCAGAGCCTGCGGGAGGCCTTCCCGGTGGTGCCTCTACTTCCCTCTGCTCCCCGAGACCGGGCAGTCCACTCACGTAGGTGGGACGAAGGCAGGCCCTGAAGGAGCGGCCTGGCCCCCGCAGACCGGAGGCTGGCCCGCAGGGAGAATGTGCCCGGAGCTGGCAGGCGACGGGCCTAGAGTCGGTCCGTGGAGCTCTCGCCACATTTGAATTAATGGTGATGGTCTGGAGTCGAGCTCTGGCGGAGCTCCATTTCCACGCGGCGCCTGTGAGCAGTGCTGTGGCCTCAGCATCTGTGCCAGGCGGGAGGGCACCGCCAGAATGAGGGCTTGGGTGGCCGGCGGGTGGGGAGACGGGGTGCCCAGCTGCGAGCTGGCTGTAGCTGTCGCCCCGGCGATCCGCTGTCTCCTGGGCGGGTGAGGGGGGTGGGGGGGTGAGGAACGGCGGAGTCATGAAGGCAGTGAGGGGACGCAAGCTGGGAGGGAGAGGACAGGACCAGCCCAGCAGACCCTGCACGGAGTAGGCCTCCAGGGCCGGGCACTGTCAGGGCAGCAGCCCTTGGCTCCTCCCAGGACGGAGGAGGTGGGTGTCTTAGCAGGAGAAGCGCGGCAAGGGTGTGATTCCCAAAGGATCCAGCACAGATGCTTGTTCTCCGCCCAGCGGCACAGGGAGGGGCGGGGTGTTTGGGAAAGGGTCAGGAGAGAATGGAGTCGTGCAGCCTGAGGGAGCCGTGGTGACTGAGAGGTCACTGGAAAGAGCCCGTGTGCCCAGCTGGGTAGCCTCCTGGATGCTGCGTCCCTCGGGCCAGCACTCGTGTGGGTCGCCCCGCGACGTGGTGGTTTCTGCTGCAGCTTGCCTGAAGTAGTGAGCGGATGCTGGCAGGGGCCCAGGCCCGCGGCCCGTAACGTTCTTTCTTCCCCATTCTGCTTTCCAGTTCCTAGAGCACGGCGGGAGACAGCGCCATGTGCCCGGAGGGGCAGCCGCAGCACAGACAGTGCTACCTCGGTTCATCGGAACCGCGCTCCCGGGACCCCTGTACTCTCTAAGCTCCACGTTTGAAGGTGGGAGCGGTCACTGTCGCCCTCAGAGAAGACCAGAGGTTCCAACTGTGTGGACACATCCGGGGCACTGTGACACTAGTCGTCTCTCCTGCAGAGGGGCCACGTCGCTAGCACTGGAGGGCAGACCACAGGAGGAACTGGGGCTCATGGTGGCCCGGGGTCTGTGGAACAGGACCGGCAGGTGAGGGAGCGGAGGAAGGGAGAGGGGAGGCAAGGAGTCTGCCAGGACTCCCCGTCCCTCCCTCCCGCCACGCGTGTCCTCCCTCTTCCCCGGCTCCCGGGGACGAGCCACCGCCCACCATGGCCTCCAAGCAGGCTGCGGGGCGGAGCCCAGGGGAGAAGCGCAAGAGGGTGGTGCTGACCCTAAAGGAGAAGATCGACATCTGCGCGCGCCTGGAGAAGGGGGAGAGCAGGAAGGTGCTGATGCAGGAGTACAACGTGGGCATGTCCACCCTGTACGACATCAGGGCCCACAAGGCGCGGCTGCTGCACTTCTTCGCCAGCTCGGCGTCCGGAGCGGCGGCGGAGCGGCGGCGGACCCTGCACACGCCCAAGCTCGAGCACCTGGACCGCGCCCTGTACCAGTGGTTCCTGGGCAAGCGGGCCGAGGGCGTGCCCGTGTCGGGCCCCATGCTCATCGAGAAGGCCAAGGACTTCTATGAGCAGATGCAGCTGACGGAGCCCTGCGTGTTCTCGGGCGGGTGGCTCTGGCGTTTTAAGGCCCGGCACGGCATCAAGAAGCTGGACGCGTCTGGCGAGAAACAGGCAGCCGACCACCAAGCCGCCGAGCAGTTCTGTGGCTTCTTCCGGAGCCTAACGGCCGAGCACGGCCTGTCCCCCGAGCAGGTGTACAACGCCGACGAGACCGGCCTTTTCTGGCGGTGCCTGCCCAGTCCCAGCCTGGAAGGTGGGGCGGTTCCCGGCGTCAGGCAGAGCAAGGACAGGCTGACTGTCCTCATGTGTGCCAATGCCACCGGCTCCCACAAGATCAAGCCCCTGGTGGTCGGCAAGGGCGGCGGTCCCCGGGCTTTCGGGGGCATCCAGCAGCTGCCCGTCGCCTACAAGGCCCAAGGGAACGCGTGGGTGGACAAGGAGATTTTTTCCGACTGGTTCCATCACATCTTCGTCCCGTCAGTGAAGGAGCACTTCCGGGCGGCCGGTCTGCCCGAGGACGGCAAAGCCGTTCTGCTGCTGGACAACGCCCGCGCCCGCCCGCGGGAGGCCGAGTTGGCCTCCGGCAACATCTTCACCGTCTTCCTGCCCGCCAGCGTCACGTCGCTGCTGCAGCCCATGGACCAGGGCATCCGGAGGGACTTCATGAGGCACTTCGTTAACCCCCCCGTCCCGCTGCAGGCCTGCCACCCCCGCTACGGCATGAATGACGCTGTCTTCAACGTGGCCTGCGCCTGGAGCGCTGTGCCCGGCGACGTCTTCAGCCGGGCCTGGAGGAAGCTGTGGCCAGCGGCCATGTTCGCCGAGGGCTCGTCCTCTGAGGAGGAGCCGGAGCGCCTCCGAGTGAAGCCTCACGGTCAGACTTTCGCGCACATTCTGGAGCTGGGGACGGAGGCCCCGGCCCGCCCTGGCAGCCGGCTTCCCCAGGCCACGGCAGCCGAGCGGGGCAGGCCGGGACACGCGGTCGGAGAAGGCCCGGCCCTGGGTGCAGGGAGCCTGGAGCTCGCCAAGAAGGACGGCGACGAGGCGGCCTGGGAGCAGGCCGCCTCGTCCTTCGATGCCGTGGTCCGCTTCGCCGAGGGGCAGCCCTGCTTCACGGCACAGGAGGTGGGGCAGCTGCGCGCGCTGCGCTCCGTGTTTGCCAGGCAGAGGCAGGTGAAGTGGCGGCGCGGCGCCCTCAGGGCCGTGGTCAAACTCGAGGCCCCCCAGGAGGCCTCCACTCTGCCCTGCTCCTCTGCAGCCACTGAGCACTGACGTCCGCGCGACCCTCGCCTGCGGCCGGAGCGTGTCTAGCATCCTGGTGCCAAGTCCACTCCAAGGTCCGATCCCCGTCTGCGGGAGGTCACGCTCACCGCCTGCCTGTCCCCGAGTTTCGCCGAGCCGTTCAAAAATGAGATTTAGGCCTCCGCTCACCACCCGGCGTAGGAGGAGCTGATTGGATTTCCGGCCGCATCTGAACCCCCGCGTTCGCTGTTCGCGCCTCCGTACCCCGGCAGGGAGGAGCCGGCCGCACGGCTTGGTTTTGGGAAGATGGCGCCTGCCGTGGCCCCCCGCCGGCTCCCCGTGGCCCGGCCTGGCCCAGAGCCAGGACTGCCCGCGGCCCGGGACGGCAGCGCACCCTCCTTGTGCATGCACGTTGGGGCCGCGACTCTGTTTTCTTCACCGCTGCGCCCTCGGGTCAGCCTCGCTGCCCGGACACCTGCTGGTTCTTGTTCCCACGTCTGCTGGGGCGCCCGTCAGCAGCGAGGGACGCGGCGTGGGGTTCGCAGGCCACTCGTGTGCTGCGTGCGCGTCTTCCCACGTGCAGGCGAGGCAGCCGCCTGTGGACGAGCGCACTTCCTGCTCTACACGCGGGCGAGGCTGTTCTCAGAGCGCCCTTATCTCCGGGCCACGTGGCCTCAGGGCTGTGCCGCCTCCACACCCTTTCCTTCCCGAGCCGGGAGTGACACCTATGCAGGCCTGCTGTTGGCTGCCGCGGCGGACCATGTCGTCGAAGGGCAGTTGCTTGCGGTGAGCTGTCGGGAGTCCCTGCAGCACCTGCCCTCGCCTTGGTGGCCGTGGTGGCAGCCCGGAGAGGTGGCCGGACGCCGAGGAGCTCTCCCCCGCAGCCCGGGTGCTTCTTGGACAGGACTTTGCCGGCGGGTGCAGCTGGAGGGGCAGGACATGGGGGGCTCCTGGATCCCCTGAGGAGGCTCTGTTCCATCAGCTTGTGGATTCGTGCCCCCGTCCTGGCTGTTTTGCGGCCACCCAATAAACGCTTGTCACCGACGGCCTAAGGGGTGTCTGTGCTCCTTCCAGAAGCAGCCACAGAGCACAGAGCCTACTTGAGCCCCCATGCCGCTCGGGAGGCTCTGGGGCAGAGCGGGGTCTGGCCTCCCGTGCCCCCCCCACGGGCAGCACGCTGCTCACGTGGCCTCTGCTGGCGGAGTGTGGGGCCCTGGGCTGCAGCCGGCTGTGGGGCCACGAGCAGGCACTGGCAGAGCCCAGGGTCCAGCGAGGCCGTCCGGTGAGCACCTCCACCCGTCCCACCGTCCCACGCTCTTGCCAGAGACCTCTGCCCCCTCCTGCCCTCCGAGAGGACCCCTAGCCACTGTGCTCGGCACTTCTGGCCCCCCAGGCTGGGGCGGTCAGAATGCTTTCGCCTCAGAATCCTTTTTCCCAGGCAATTCTGGGTGGAGCCTAACTAGGCTGGATATGAAATCAGAGCCGGGTGGGACCAGTGTCCTCTTCCTCTCCGGTCACCACAGAGGCACCTTTAGGAGGCGTGGGCTCCGCATCCCCCAAGAGTACTTGGCCCAGAGCCCTGGCGGTGGGGTCCACGGGTGTGGCATCTGGGAAGCCCCGCCGTCCCTTGCAGACGTGCTTGCCCCGCTCTTGGCTGGTCTTTCCTGGGTCAGAAGGTGGAGCCTCAGGAGGCAGCTCAGAGCCCCAGAGTCAGATGTGGCCTTGGAGGAATGGGGTAGAGGCAGGGGTAGGTGGCCATGCAGACTGCGTGCTTTCGCTGGAGCCTGGGTGCACGGGAAGCAGAATTTAGGGGAAACGGGATGCGCCGCTGCTGCCACCTCCGAGGGCCAGCCTGAGCCGCTGTGGGAAGGTGGTGGCACGGCTGCCAGCTTCGGCGGGCTCTCTCGCAGTGGGGGTGCGCTCCCATGCCACGCGTCACTTAGCGCAGAGTGTGGCATGTGTTCCCTGCCCGCCGTGTGCCAGGCACTGTGCGCGGCCCGAGGCTGGGGGGTGATGAGACGAGGCCCCCATCCTGCCTCCGGAGAGCACGGGTTTACCGACAAGGGCAGGAAGTTGCTGGGGAGGCTGAACACGGTGGGGGTGGAAGGTGGTGCGGGGCTGTTCGCGGGTCCATGAGGGCGGGAAAGAATGGTTCCTACCTGCCTCAGGCCCGGCCCGCAAGTCCAGGAGGGTGACCCAGGGTAGTGAGGCAGCGTGACACAGGGAGCCAGGCTCCTCTGCTGCTTGGGACCCATTTCGTGTTTCAGGGCTGTTCCAGGTCCCACGCTGGTGTCTGCTGCGTCCAGCCTCAGCCGCAGGAAGCACAGTTCCTCTGAGCGGCCCCGAGGCCGCCATACACAGCACTTCCACTCCGGGCCTTTGGGTGGGGCCCCGGTTCACAGGCCCCACTGGCCACCAGGGTGTCTGGACAGTGTGGCTGGGGAGGGGAGCGTGCACACCAGGGTGCCGTTCGGGAAAGCCGGGCCAGGTCCCCTGCCTCCCTCCGCCTCGCTCTCTCCACAGCCACGCTCTGGCCTCAGCCCTCCTCCAAGGCCACGGCGGACACCGATCGGGAGGGCCCGGTGTGTGGAGGATGGAGGCCGGCAGCCCGTGGTGGTCTGGACGCGTGGGTGGGGGCTCCACACGGACTCCAACCCGGGAGACCTGGGACGGCTGCCCCCAGAGCTGTCGGAGACGAGTGGCGTTGTCCCCGCTCCCAGCACTGGGGCTCAGAGGTGTTTTCCAGGGGAGAGGCAGGCCGTGGCCCGGGCGCCTCCCCGCCATGGAAGAACTGACTTGGCTTGCCGCAGAGCTGCGGGCTGGCTGTGGGGCAGGAAAAATCTCCCAACGCTGATCTCAGGAGCTGTTCTTCCGGAGGAACTGGGTTTGCTCGGATTAGGCTCTGAAGCTTTATGCCCAGGGCAGGACTGGAAGAGCAGTAGTCAGTGTCCGCCAGCAAGGGGCCGGTGTGGGCGGGGAACACAGTCCAGCAGCTTCGCGGAGCCGCTGTCCTCGCAGGGCGGCTGTGGGCCGGCCCCAGGCTGTACCCCTGGGAGGCACCAGGGAGGCCGGAGCAGGGGCTGTGGGGACTGGGACAAGCACCTCCCCCCAGCCCCCCCAGCCCAGCACCAGCAGACAAAGTAAGCAACAGGATAAGAGTAACGTGACCCGGCGGGGTGGGCAGGACCCAGAACTGGCAGCACGCTCCCTGAAGTGACCCGCTTCCCACGTGAACGTGCGAAGAAACGGGTGTGGCTCAGACTGGTGAGAGAGCAGGGGCCGCACAGCCGCCGGGGGCTGCATTTAACAAGCGACTTGAACTTGGCCAGTCTACACACGGAACGGGAAGGAGCAAAGGCGGAGACTGGCGGTGGCGCGTCGCACAGCATCACTGGGAAGATGACAGTTACCACGCCCGGAAGAACCAGGTGGGGATTCCAGAGCTGACCAGTGCGAGAACCAAAGTGAAGAGCTCCTGAGTGAGCCGGCAGCCACGTGAGCTGGAGAGAGAACCCGTGACCTCGGCTGACCTGGAGGGCCAGGTGACCGCGCGATGCAGGGACACCCATGTCTGCACCACCGGAGCTCCAGGAGGCAGAAGGAACAGAAAAAGTACTCAAATGGTCCCCGAAAAATCCCCACATTTGTCTGCAAACCAGCAGGCCAGTGAGCTCCAGCGGGACCACCACCGCGATCCACAGAGTCGGGAACACGGGGAAAGCTGTCCCCACCCCGAGCGTGCCCGGTGGGGCTGGTGTCCGAGAAGGGGCAAGGGTCTGAGTGCGCAGAGGAAACGCACGGCCAGGACTCGGCGGCCTCCAGAGCTCTCTCGGAGTAAGGTGGGCGCACGCGGTTTCCAGATGCTCACAGAGTTTGCCGCTTTCCTTCCGAGAAATGCTAAAGGAAGTTCTTAGGGCTCAGAGCAAGTGACCCAGACGGTAAACCAAATCCGCTCAGAGCAAAGCCCCGGTAAAGGCATCTGCGCTCTGTGCGCTGGCCTCAGACACCTTGGGTGACGGGTGCCCACTCCCCGCTGCCCTTCCCTCTGGTGGCAGCCGCCGCTGCTCTTGTGACCGATTATTTTAGAGCGAGGAGGGGCAGGCGGGACAGGGAGAGCATCGCAGACTCTGCCCAGCACGGAGCGGGCGTGGGGCCCCATCCCATGATCCTGCGACCACAGCCTGAGTCGAAACCAAGAGCCAGAAGCTTAACCAGCCGCCCTCCGGGTGCGGCCGCCACGTCTCCAGGAGGCGTACCGGTCCCTGAAGTGGTGGTCTTGGGCTTGTCACCTTGACAGATGTGCCCTGTGTGCAGCCACACCGGAATGGTCTCCGGCAGGAGGTGTGCACGGGCACATCCCAAGGGCATTCCGGTCGCCCTGAGAGCAGCCAAGCCTGAGAAAACCCAAAAGTAGTGAACACATCTGTTAGAGAAATCAAGGGCTACTGTCGAAGATGCTTCGTGGAAAAGCCTCGAGAGAACGGAGGGACAGAAAGACGAGGGACCCTCAGCACGCAGACCCGCCTCGCCTCCCTGGCCCTCACTGAGCTCCGCAGCGTGGTCCCTGCCGCGGAAATCAGAGTCGAGCCCTGAGCCGATTTGTGCCGCCGCCGAGGTCGCACCGCGGCCCGGACCTTGGCTCCTGCAGAGCAGAGGCGGCAGCGGCAGCGGCGACAGAGCGGCTCCCCGGGGCCGGGCTTCTGTCTGAGGCCGGCACTGCTTCGAGCCACTGGGAAGCGCCCAGGAGCCGGGAAGGACCCTGCCCTCACCAGGCCCTCGTCGGCCGCATGGCACTTCCGGGCACGCGGACTCATTTCACATTGACCTTGCTCAGTAAACTTGCCTTAGAGAGCTTGGTCTGCTGCGGTGCAGAAGCGTATTGTGTGGGCGCCCACACAGGGCGGCGGGTGCTTCCCGCGCTCTCTTCCCGCGGGGCCTCCCACGCCCCATCTTCACCTCGGTGTCTGCGGACACCAGCCCCGCACCCACAGCGCGGGCCTCGTCCTGGGCGGTCAGGCAGCTGGAGCAAGATGGGAGGCGCCGGCCTCCAGACTGCCAGGCCC